ATCACTTATAAAGAAAACCAATCAGAGTCACAGCAGACTTCTCAGCACAAACAATAAAGTCAAGAAGAGCATGGAGTGAAATATTCCGGATATTAAAGGAAAATGATAAAATGATAAGAAACACACAGAATATATAGAACATATTTAAATAAATGCAAAAGAGTTGAAATTATCCCTTGCATGTTATCAGATCATAGCGCCCTGAAATTAGAAATTAATGATACAACATACTGCAAAACCCCCACAAACACATGGAAACTAAATAGCACGCTCTTGAGTAATCAGTGGGTCACATGGGGATTAAAGAGGAAATTAAGCAATACCTACAAGCAAACAAAAATACAAATACAACATACCAGAATCTGTGGGATGCAATGAAAGCTGTCCTCAGAGGAGCATTTATTGCACTGAGTTCCCACATCAGGAAAACAGAATGAATCCAAAGAAATAACCTGATGCTACACCTCAAACATCTAGAAAAAGAAAAGCAAGTCAAGCCAAAAGTCAAAAGAAGAGACAAATTATAAAAATCAGAGCAGAAATCAATGCAATAGAGACTAAGAAAACAATCCAAAAAATCAATGCATCAATGAGTTGGTTCTTTGAAAGAATGAATAAAATTGATAAGCCCCTAGCCAACCTTATAAAAAAAAAGGTAAGAAATAACTCAAGTTCATGCAATAAGAAATGAAAAAGGAGAAATCACTACAGACTCTATAGAAATACAGAAGATCATCAAAACCTATTTCAACAAACCTCAATGTCTCAAAGGTTTGATAACACAGAAGAAATAGACAGATTTCTAGAAACATATGAAGTACCAAAGCTAGGTCAAGAGGATGTAAAACTGCTGAATAACCCAATTTCTATTAATGAAATTGAAAATGTAATTAAGGGGCTGGAGATTTAGCTCAGCGGTGTAAGCACCTGCCTTGCAAGCAGGCAGTCGTGAGTTCGATCCCCGGTACCAATAAAAAGGAAAAAGACAAAAAAAAAAAAAAAAAAGAAAATGTAATTAAGTCCTTACCTACAATGAAAAGCCCAGACCAGAGGGATTCACTGCAGAATTCTACAAGAAATACAAAGAAGACATAATGCAGACACTCCTCAAACTGTTCAATGAAATTGAAAGGGAAGTAATCCTTCCTAAGTCATTCCTGGAAGCAAATATTACTGTAGTACCAAAACCTGAGAAAGACCCAACTAACAAAGGGAACTACATACCAATCTCCCTAATGAACACAGATGCAAAAATCCTCAATAAAATATTGGCAAATAGGATGCAGCAAATCATCAAGAAGATTATATACCACGACCAAGTGGGATTCATCCCAGGCATGCAGGGATGGTTCAACATACATAAATCAATAAATGTAATTTACCATATCAATAACACCAAAAGTAAGAATCACATGATCATTTCTATAGATGCAGAAAAAGCTTTTAATAAAGTGAAACATTCATTTATGATAAGTTGAATAGATGGACTTTATCTCAATATAATAAAGGCCATCTATGAAAATCCAAGAGCCAATATCATACAAAATAGCCAAAAATTGAAGGCCTTTACTTTAAAATCAGGCACAAGATAAGGATGTCGCCTATCACCGCTCCTATTTAATATAGTACTGGACAGTCCAGCCAGAACAATTAGACAAGAGAGAGAAATAAAAGGGGTAAAGACGGGAAAAGAAGAAGTTAAATTATCATTAGTTGCATGATACTCTACATAGAACATGATACTCTACATAGAAGATCCCCAAAACTCCATTGAAAGACTCTTAGATATAATAAACACATTCAGCAATGTAGCTATATACAAAATCAATACTCAAAACTCAATAGCATTCCTAACACTGACAACAGAATCACTGACAGAGAAGTGAGAAGCCACACCCTTCACGTTAGCAATCAAAAAAAATGAAACATTGACGAATTACTCTCATGAAAGAAGTGAAAGACCTATATAGGGAAAATTATAATACACTGAAAAAAGTAATTAAGATGATCTCAGATATTGGAAAGACATCCCTTGCTCATGGATAGGAAGAATAAATATTGTGAAAATGGCCATTCTCCCAAAACTGTTATACAGATTCAATGCACCCCCCCCCAAAAAAAAATACCATCAGCATACCTCATAGATCTTGAGAAATCACTCCTAAAATTCATCTGGAACCAGAAGAGACCTAGAATAGCAAAGACATTTCTAAGCATCAAAGGCAAAGCAAGAGGCATCACAATCCCTGACTTGAAATTTTACTACAAAGCAACTGTAGTAAAATCAGCATGGTACTGGAATCCAAGCAGAGTTGAAGATCAATGGAGTAGATTAGAAGATACAACCACAAATACAAACACACTCAACCACCTTATCTTTGATAAAGGGGCCAAACAGGTTCACTGGAAGAATGACCATCTCTTTAATAAATGGTGTTGGAAAAACTGGGTCTCCACATGCCAAAAACAAGAACTAGACCCATGCCTATCACCACATACTAAATTAAAATCTAAATGGGTCAAAGATCTGAATATTAAAACAGAAACACTAAATCTATTGGAAGATAAATTGGGTAAAAACCTTGAAGACATAAGGGTAGGTAGAGAATTCATGAACAGGACTAAAACCACACGGGAAATACAACTAGTTACAAACCTCTTTATTTTTAATAGTTTAAGTCCTGATTATATAAAATTCTTGGCCTACACTTTGTGGGAGAGTTGTTGCTTCTGAATTGGAGACATTCGTGCAAACTAGAATACACAATCGCTTCCAAAAGACAGGCATTCCAGGATCAAGCATTAATATAAGCTTTAATTATCAGAAAAATATTTCCAGATAATCTGTGAATTTGTGAAAGAGAACATTTTGTAAGACATGCAAGTTGCAAGTGCACACTCAAAAAAGATTCACATAGTGGAATGTAGCAGTTTAAATGAACGATATTCTCTGTGTACATACAGCATTGCTGCTGAAACACACTGGTACACATGAGAAAAGGCTTCAACCCATTTGGCATGTTCTTTCTCCAAGGAGAAAATCTTTGAGACTACCTATAAATTTCCTGTGTACAGCCATAAACACAGAAAAACCAGTGTTTCATCTGAAAATAGTAGAACTGAGAGTTGGAAGAAAGACCTGGATTTAAATTTTGGAGGTGAAACACTAAGACACATTCACTGAAAAATATGTCAATACATTTCCATTAGTTTCAACCTATTTATATTTAAATTGGAGATGGGTATATTGAAATTACCTGTTATAGTCAGGGGTTTTAAAGAAAACAATTATATACACAATGCACAATTTACAGAATTATTTTTGGAATGTTCATTCAAACAGTCAAAAGAAATAGTGCAGGGAATCTGTCCAAACACTAAGACCCAAAGAATCCAACCGAGGGCCTGGATCCCACAGCAATGTCATGCAGGAGTCCAGTGGGAGGCCTAGAGCCCACAACAATGACTCATACAAGTCTGTTTCATGGATCTGCGCTGGGAAGGCCCATACATCAGCAATAGAAGCTAGAAAGTCTGTGTCAGCAGGATGAAGGATCTGTGCCAGCAGGTTGAGGGTTCTTCAATGGAGCCGGGAAGCAACACTTAGAATACTAACCAGAGCTCCCCAGAAAAGTACCACAGCCACCCTCAGAGATGACAAGGTCCTGAGCTCCTCAAAAGATGAGAACAACTGAGCTCACATCAGGAAGTCAGTGTGACGTATTTCTCCTACATACTGAACAGCACACATCTTCCCTTCTTGGAGTCAGGGAGTGATGCTCTAAATAAGGACCAGAGCTTCCTTAAGGTGAACTGCAGCCATTCTGTGAGACAACCAGGTCCTAAATGCCTATGATGATGGGAATAACTCAGTTCGTATCAGAAAAAAATCTCCACAGGTTCTCCTGGAGAGCCAATGGCAGCAGGAGAACCAACAACACTCCCTCTGCCTCTCTGTTCTCCATTTTATCTTGGCAACAATCCTCAAGTGGGCGATCCACACTCAGTACCCCGCAGATTCAGTTCAGCTGAAATTACAAGCTGATCACCAATGATCACTTCACCACATTACCTCATTTCATACTTGGATCAAATCACCTAACTCAAGTGTTCTGTTAGACAATAAAATATTCATTAAACAAAAATTCATGTGTCGTATATATAGAAGCAGTAACTCTAGAAACATCAAATGCCTCTCAGTAGGATTAAATAGAAGAATAGCTAATCTTCTTTCTGAAAATGTTACTCAAATGTTAGTGAAGGAGAAAAACCCCTTCCTATATATTCAAGAAAAACTGATCTGAGCAAGAGGATAGGTAAGAAAATAACACATCAAGAGGAATTTCAAATTCCTTAGCTTATTTTTTCTTTGTGCCAGGAAACAATTCATAGATAGATTAGCAATTATTTATTCCTTGGGTTAGAAACTGTTTCTTTTTTCCTATAGCGGATGTCTCTCTCCTTTTGTATTACATATTGCTTTTGCCACAAATAAAAATAAAGAAATAAAATCAAATATTCCTTACTCCCAACTGTCACCAGCTGAAAGATCCACCCAACGCATACTTCTCTCTTTTAAGCTTTGCTTCATTGTGGCCAAACAAAACTTTAAAAGATTCAGAGATCAGGTTCCTCAGAGAAGCCAAGTTCATCCAAGTAAAACATGCAGGATTAATATAAGAAAGTATTAGGGAGACTGTGGAGTACAATGTGTCTTAGCATCTTCAAGCTTAAGAGCTACAGTTCATTCAATTTCATAGCCTAAAACCATGCACATGAATAGGGAAGCCGGGGCAATGCATCTGGCAAAAGGCTCTAGCTCTCAAAAGCACATTGTTAGTATTAACTCCCCAATAACCACAGTTACTAGGAAGGTACACTGACTCCTATTTGTTTAATTTTCTGTCAACAACATGTAAAATTTGTTAATTCTCTTGTATCATTATAAAGATAGTCCTCCCTGTGGTGTGCACCATCATTTTCCTGGCATTTAGAAAGAGCTAACTTCTTCTCCTTTTCAGGAAACTCCTCATGGCACTTTTCACCTCTGTGTTTCTCACTGTGTAAATTACAGGATTCAACATGGGAGTGAGGATTGCGAAGAACACAGTCACCAACTTGTCTACGGGGTAAGTAGCCACAGGACGCATGTAAGTGAATATGCAAGGTACAAAAAAGAGGACAACGACAGTAAAATGAGATCCGCAGGTGGAGAGGGCTTTGCGCCGCCCTTCAGAGCTATGAGATTTCAGGGAGTTCAGGATGACAGCGTAAGAGACAAGCAGCATGGTCAGAATGAGCAAGCACATGGCTCCGCTATTGGCTGTCACCACCACCCCCAGCCAGTAGGTGTCGCTGCAGGCCAGTTTCAACAATGGAAAGAGGTCACACATGAAATGGTCAATGATATTGGGACCACAGAAGGGCAGGTGGACCATGAAAAGAATTTGCACAGTGGCATGCAGGATCCCTCCCATGCAGGCTATCACCACCAAGAGGCGACAGAGACCCTGCCGCATGATTGTCATGTAGTGCAGGGGCCTGCAGATGGCCACGTAGCGGTCATAGGCCATAACAATAAGTAGAATGATCTCAGAGCCGCCCAGGAAGTGCTCCAGAAAGAGCTGTGTCAGACAGCTCCCCAAAGAGATGGTCCTCCTCTGGTAGAGCAGGTCGATGAGCATTTTTGGGGTGGTGACAGAGGTGTAGGAGGCATCTATGAGGGACAAGTAGGTGAGAAAGAAGTACATGGGAGCAGACAGGGAGGGGCTGAGGGAGATGGTGATGACAACGAGCGAATTGGCCAGCACAGTAAATAAGAAAATGAACAAAAAGACAAGGAAGAGTATTTTCTGCAAGTGTGGATTCTGTGTGAGTCCCAAGAGAATAAACTCAGACACATTATTGGGAGGCGTGGGGTGATCCATTCAGGAAGTAACACCTTCACAAGTTCTGAATTACCTACCAAAGATAAAGATAGACAGTTAATCATGCAGGGTCATAGCCTGAATGTGGTAGTGCGGAGATAAGCTGTTCACTATCTCTGAATCATATGGAGCACGACTTTGGCGTCCCTCAGCCTGCTAGCTTTCCCCATGATGCTCTCTTCAGATGCCTAATACTCTCTGTCACCTATAACACACTCATAAAGCATCAATTATTGGGTAATTTAAACAAGAAGGCATGGAGCTATGTACATGAACTCTGGATTCTCCATTTCTAACACCTTAAGACTTTGTTACATCCTTCCCTTCCCACAAAGGTCTGATCCTTCCTCCCTGTCTGTGAGCATATAAATTACAACCAGGAGATATACTGTGTAAGTTATAAAGCATGGCATAGAGGAAAAGCTTATTCCCTCTTCTAGAATTCATAGCCGAAACCCCAATTTTCTTTTAAGACATGATCAATACCTGTCATGCAAGGCAATCTAAGCAAGCAGACCAGGAAAATGTGTAAATCGCTGGGGACACAGCCTCCCTGGCACCAGCCATATACATATCATATCCGTGGTGCTTCCTCAGTGCACCTACCAAAGTGACTGGCATCATGTCTTCAACGTGTGGAGCCCTATAAGATGACAGATAGATGCTTGACTAAGTCCCACATTTGCTGTATCTCCATGAATGCTTACACCTCCCTGGTCACAAACCAAAGAGCTCAAGTACTGTCATCCTTTCACTGTGTTTTTCCAAAATTTGTACCTACTTCATGAGAAATGTAAATAAACTCTTAAAAAGAAGGGTACATTCCATTTTTATAGTTTTGGCATATTTTATATGTTGAGCTTGAAAATATGTTATTGGGGAATTTGACTTTCAAGATAATTTCATTAGTAGCTAATATTGTTAATCCTGCAAAATTACGTCTCATGGATGATTTGATACAGTCTCATTTGTTAAATTTACAGTTTCAATATTGAACTTAAAATTTCTCTGGCATAAGCTTTTCAACCCATAAAGGCTGATAAAGTAAAAGAACCCTTATTTTAAAGTTATGAAAATAAAAACAATGTGGAATACAGAAACAGACAGTTAACTAGATAAGATAAAGGATGTATGATTTATAGATAGATTATATACCACAAATACATAATTACACTCATTCAACAACACTTTGTTGGACTCACTGTGTGTAGCAATGTATATTCCTTTATATATCTATAAGCATGTCCATGTTAAATGCCTTTCTTAATCCCTCTTCTGATACTTTATCACTGTAGCACTTTTTCCATCCACCAGACAATGATGCACCCTACTTCTGAGTTTCTGCTCCAAACGTTCTTCTGTCTTCTGCCATAGCATTCATCATTCTTGGATAAAGAACACTGCATTATTAATAGAAAGCGAGGAAAGTATCCTCACTTGGGGGCATAAACACTACCAAGAAATGAAAAGAGAACATATAAGTATAACTGAAAGTATTCGGCTAACAATGTTTCTTTTCTTTTCAGAGTTAACTGGACAAAGGGCTTTATTATTTATCTAGCATTCATATAACCACATAATCATATATCTATGTATATATGAAAAACAAGTACAATAATTTCATTACATTCCCTTTTTCTACAGACAACTCACAGCCAGATATGAAAAGAAAACAGTGGAAATAAAATAATAAGACAACACAAGTGATTTAGAGGGAACATTAAAGAAATAAAAATCACTTTGCCTCTTTAACTTCATAACACTCTTCCTAGATATAAAACCTAAAGGAAAATATTTTTAAATAAATTATTCTGTAAAAATATATTCAGTGAGTTTTTTATACCTGAGAAAATTATAAATTGTGTGCAATGTCCAATATTAGAAAATAAAATATATAACAAAATAGGTTATTATATATACTAATATGCATATGAATTTCACAGAGATATTTTCAAATTGTGTAATATCATTGAAAATTCTTTTGTAATAACAAATGGGAAAATTTTAGAATGTAAGTTTCTAATATTGAGTATGATTTTAGCTTAACTGTATTTCAATGGTAAGCAAGAGACCTAAGAATACTTTTACTTCTAAATTTATAGAATTATAATTGATTTGACCATTCTCAGAGTTCAACATGCAAAGAAAGGCTGAAGCCTAGATCGGTGGTAATGAGGGGTAATCAAATGATTTTTTGGGTTCATTTAATTATGACATTCTGTCCTGATGACTTCCTTTAAAAATATCTCACCTAAGGACCAAGGATGTAACTCCGCAGCACAGCTCTTGCCTGGCAAGCAGGAGGCCCTCAGTTCCATTCCCTGTACCAAAAAATTTTTTTAATAAATAAAAAAATGTCTCACCTATCAACTTGTCTAAATAGCTATGTGGCCAGGGTCTTGAGCACCTGTTAGTTTATGAATAAACAAAGGAAAGTTACAACATTAAAAATATTCCATTCCACTCAGCCGTGGTTGATTTATAAATGTGACCACTGCAGGATCCTTGCTCTGGAGCCTCACCAAAGCCACATGTCCTGTTTGCAGGTGAACTCTAAACTTTCTTAGCTGCAGTTAATTAGGCCTCAGGGGTATTTCACTGGCAGACACTGCCACAGCCCAATTACTTCATCTTACTTAACTGAACATTCTGTAGGAACCATCATGGCCTTCCTCTCTAATTGGTAACTATTCCCTTAAATTCACACAAAGACAAATCACCGGGTGAAGAGAAAGCTAAACAGTCCTCTGCTAATGAATTTGGATATTTAATAACAAATGGATTTAGTTTATTAGTGGAGTTAGGATATATTCCCTGGTATAAATTAAACATTTAGGTAAGCAACTGACTCAAAATTTTATTGTATTCTGATTCCTTATCAACCTCACTTGCACTGGTAAATACTTTTTAACAATTGTCTTAGGGGACACACATCAAGTGATAATAATGACATCTGTTATATAGCAGCACTTCATACCAAGACTAGTTTGCAGTGTTTCTTCAAAGCAGTATTTCTCATAACAAACTCAGTAATCAGATTTACAGCATGATGATGAAAATAGTTACAGTCTTCAAATAACTTCATAATTTTAGGGTACATTTTCAGTCATTCAAATGTAATGTGAAATGGAAAAATAGCCATCAATATTACCTTTTTAAACATAGAAAGCCAAGTCATAGAATCAGAACATCTACCAATGGAAAATAAAAGCCAAGCCTCCTGATACATAGGCCAGGGTCCTCATGCTTAGATTTCTGTATCGTAACTAATGTGATGAGATTCTTTTATGCTGTCAGCAATTGTGAGGTGCATTGGAATTGTCTACTACAAGAAATACATACCAATATTTGAAATAATTTTTAAAAGCAAAGTAAATTCAATTAAATTTAGGAATATTCCTAAATCTAATAGGCTTATTCACTCACGTTTAAATATAGTTTCTAAAATAAAATAAGAGAGAGAGACAAATTGTACAAAACTCTAAGTTAGTGTCAGAGAATACAGGCATTCTGAGAATATAGTATTCTGAGAAGCAGGGTAGAAAACACTAACAAAACTGATACTGTGTAATAAATTTGATTCTGTCACATACTTGAACATTGTAGTGCTCTGAAAAGCATTGGCTTTCTTATCAACAAAAAGAAAGAAAAACCCAAATTTATGCAATAAGGACTGAAAGAGGGAAATTACTACAGATCCCATGGAAACTGAAAAGATCATGAACACCTACTTTGAAAATCTCTACTCACATAGAGTGGAAACCATTGATGAAATGGACAGATTCCTAGAAACATATGAACTACCAATGCTCAACCAAGAAGATATAGCAAATTTGAATAATCTAATATCAGTTATTGAAATTGAAAACGTGATTCAATACCTATCAACAAAGAAAAGCTCAGGTCATGATGGAGTCATGGCTGAATTCTACAAGAAATTTAGAGAAGATTTGATGCCAATACTCCTTACACTCGTCAATGAAATTCAAAAGGAAGCAATCCTCCCTAAATCATTCCGGGAGGCAAGTATTATTCTCATGTCAAAACCATGGAAAGACCAAACAAAAAGAACTTTAGACCAATCTCACTAATGAACACTGATGCAAAGATTCTCAATAAAATACTGACAAATAAAATGCAGCAAATCATCAAGAAGATTATACATCACAACCAAGTGGGATTCATTCAAGGAACGCAGGGATGTTTTAGCATATGCAAATCAATAAATGTAATACACTACATCAACAGAGCCCAAAACAAAATCCACATGGTCATCTCAATAGATGCAGAAGAAGCTTTCAATAAAGTCCAACACATGTTCATGATAAAAACCCTTCAGAAACTCAGACTACATGGTGTCTACCTCAACCTTAGAAAGGCCATCTATGACAAACCAACATCCAACATTATATTAAGTGGACAAAAACTGAAAGCTTTCACTTTAAATTCAGGAACAAGACAAAGATGCCCACTATCACCACCCCTATTTAATATAGTTCTGGAAATACTATCCAGAGCAATCAGACAAGAGAGAAATAAAAAGGAATAAAGATAGGGAAAGAAAAAGTTAAATTATCACTATTTGCAGATGACATGATACTATATAGAGAAGGCCCAAAAAACTCCATTAAAAGACTAGTAGAGGTGATAAACAAATTCAGAAGTTTAGCTGGATACAAAGTCAGTGCTCAAAAATCAATAGCATTCCAGTACAAAAACAAAAAACTCATTGAGAGAGAAATTATGGAAATATTGACATTCACAATAGCATTTTAAAAATGAAATACTTAGGAATCAACCTAACCATCAATGTAAAAAACCTATATGCTGAAAATTGTGCTATGTTAAAAAAGTAGATTGAAGAGGATATTAGAAAATGGAAGGATATTCCTTGCTTTTGGCTAGGAAGAACCAACATTGTGAAAATGGCCATATTCTCAAAACTGTTATACAGATTTAATGCAAACCCAACCAAAACACCATTAACATACCTCAGAGAT